AAAAAAAAATTAATATCTCAAAAACTATGAGTCTTAGGTCAACAGGGTTTGTACAGGCGTGTTCTCCGGTTAATTTTACATATAGTACTAGTTTTTCATAAGAATAATTTTTTTTTTTAATTTAATTTAATTATTTAATATCTCAAATATTATACAACGTAGAGTATTTTAACTTGTAATTTTACGTCTAGAAAACCATAAAAATATGATAGTTGTATTACTTGTTGCCTACATCACTATTAATTATAAAAATGAGTGACTTAAATAAAAAAGTTGACATAAAACTCAAGAATACTTTTTAAAGTTGTTTTTCAATTATTGCACTAATAACACAATAATTAATCTGTATTACTGGTTGCCTACGTCTAGAAAAATTACTAATAATCATTTTTTGTTTTGAAAAAAATAGTTGGTTGCGATCACTTTTTTGATTAATAATCTTTTGTGTAATTTGTCATAACTTGTCTAAATTGCAGTGAAAATCGAAAATAATGCCGGAAACAAATTAACTCGTTGAATTAATTAAAAGAAAGCTGGTCGAGTCATTGTTATTATGCAGGTAATTGCCGTTAAAAAACGACCATTACACAACTGATAAATTTCCGGATGAAAAATCCTGAAAATGACTCGGAAAATTTAAACAACACTTTCTGGCGGCTTCCCAAAGGTTAGTAATGTGTTTTCCTAATTATTGCAAAATAAGGTTTTGTGACCTAAAGTTGACATTTGCCCAATTTAGCTACTCGTAAAATGTCAGTTTGTCACGCTTTGTGAATTTGAAAGTGATCCTCATGCAAAGGAAATCGCTCAAATAAATATTTGTTCATTTTTTGACGTTTAAACAGGTTTTTTTTTTCTTTGGGACACGTCAGAGTCTAAGAATGCAGAATTTCGTCCCACACGAATTTTCGCTCATTTGAAAAACTAACAATAAAGAAAAATATAAAAAAATTAAATTACATAATTATTACAAAATTGCATTTTTGTACTATTTTTCAGTAACTATTTATAAAATTTTAATTTTGTCAAAGAAAACGTTTTTTTTATATTTTGAGAAGAAGGGTAAACTGGGACAACCTGTATCTATTGTTTTACTTTTTGTATGATTTTATTGCTTAAAAACAATCCTGACGAAGCAAAAATTCATTTTATATAAAAATGGTAGATATACAAAGTGTCTCATCTAAGATTTTTCGGTTTATGGTAGAAACAACCCGGAAACAAACTATTACAAAATTGCATTTTTGAAC